ATGTCTGGCTCTAGGTGAGTGATCACACCATCGTGATTATCTGGCTCATGAAGATCTTTTTTGTACAGTTCTTCTGTGTATTCTTGCCACCTTTTCTTAATATCTTCTGCTTCTGTTAGGTTCATACCATTTCTGTCCTTTATCGAACCCATCTTTGCATAAAATGTTCCCTTGAAGAGATTTTCTTGAAGAGATCTCTAGTCTTTCCCATTCTGTTGTTTTCCTCTATTTCTTTGCATTGATCGCTGAGGAAGGCTATCTTATCTCTCCTTGCTATTCTTCGGAACTCCGTAGTCAAATGGGTATATCTTTCCCTTTCTCCTTTGCTTTTCGCTTCTCTTCTTTTCACAGCTATTTGTAAGGCCTCCTCTGACAACCATTTTGCCTTTTTGCATTTCTTTTCCATGGGGATGGTCTTGATCCCTGTCTCCTGTAGAATGTCATGAACCTCCACAGACTAGTGCTCCCCAAATTTTAACCTGTCCATTAATTCCCCAGATATTGTACAAATGTAGATTCTGATTCAGTGGATGAGGTTCTGCCTTTCTAATGAGCCCTCTGGTCAGGCCAAACCTGTTCATCTGTGCACCATCCTCACGGTCTGCCTGGATGTAGATTCTCACTTTCTAGAATTTCTAGGCTGGTGCTTCCCTCTTTCCACACCTGATCCTTCCAAATTTATTCTACTCTCCCTCATTAACTCCCCTAACACACTCCTTTGCCATACTCTTTGATGGATGCAAAGCTAAGCACATGACTGGCCAAGGCACGTCCTGTAATGCCCTTGCATATCTGTTCTGAATGTGAAAAGCTGGGAAAAAGCTCACCTGAGACCATGTCTGGAGAATGGCTGATGACCCCTGGCTTCATGCACTGCCCTCTCTGTTTGGAAAAGCAAGAACCTGGAGAGCTAAGAGGAGAAAGAACCACAATGAGACTGACCCTGTCTTGTTTCTCACACTCGCCACCTCTTCCTCCCTCAGTCTCCTCACCACCATCCTAGGAAAGATACTCTACAAATTTACCTGATGAGGACAGAAATTCCTAGAAAGACTCTCTGAAGCAAGAGTCAAGGACTGCAGAACATTTGACTTGTAAGAAAATCCCTGGCCCGCTTTGAATGCATCACTATGTAGTCTGCGCCGAATGCTTCTACTGACCACGGTTGGCAAAAATCCCAAACAAGCTTTCGCAGAAAAAGTAGGGTAATAGAGGCCTCTGGACCTCTGCAAGGCTGCAGAACAAAATGCAAGCGGAGTTCTGGCCCCGGGAGGAAAGGGTAAAATGTTTAACGTCCTAGTTGGGCTAAGAGGACCGAAGCCCGCTTCCGGATCTGAACACTCCACCCTGGGAAACAGGCGACTCTAAACGTCACCGGCCCGCACCCTGAGTACCGCGAGTCGGACGGAGGTCGAGCCGGCTCTTCAGGGCAGAAAAGTCGATTGCTCCTCTCCAGCAGAGGGCTGTGCCCAGGCTCGCAGAGCTTCGGAGGCCTCTGCTCGGCGAGCTCCGGGATAAGGAGGGCTGCGCCACGAGGGAATGGGATCCCGGAAATCCGGGTAGCTCGGTGAGCGCGAGCGCCAGCAGGCCCGCCGCACCTAGCTAAGGCGGAAGCGCTCCCAACTGGCGCTTTCGGCGCCTCTCTAGGAAGCCCGGAG